TATGGGAGAGAAACGAATAGATTTGAGACTGAATCTGTTTCTCGTACCACATACAAAAATTAACTCAGAATGGATTACAAATCTATGTAAGAGCTAAAACTATTAAGTTTTTCTTAGAAAATACAGGAAAAAAATCTTTATGACCTTGGGGTTAGGCAAAGCCTTCTTAGATATGACACCAAAAGCAAAACCAACCAAAGAAAACAGATAAATTGGACTTCAACAAAATTAAAAATTTGAGCTTCAAGAGAAACTATCAAGAAAAGTGAAAAAGACAACACAAAGAATGAGATAAAAAATTTGCAAATCATATCTCTAATAAGGTACTGGTATCCAGAATATATAAAGTATTCTTACAATTAATAACAAAAAGAGAAATAACCCAATTTAAAAACAAGCAAAAAAGTTTTTTTTAAAATGGGCAAATAATATTAATACACATTTCTCCAATGAAAATACACAAATGGCCAATAAGTACATGAAAAGATGCTCAACATCATTAGTTACCAAGGAAACACAAAGCAAAATCACAATGATATAACACTTAACACCCACTGAGATGGCTATAATAAAAAAGACAAGACAATAACAAGTGTTGGCAAGGATGTGGAGAAACTGGAACCCCCACACATGGCTGGAGGAAATGTAAAAGGTGCAGTCCCTTTGAAAAACAAGTCTGGCAGCTTCCCAAATGGTTAAACATAGTTACCATCAACTGCTCCTATTCCTTCTGATTATCTGGGTGAAGCTTCACACATACCTAGTTCCCAAAATGGCCAACTGGTTATCAAGCCAAGTCTGCCTCCTCTGGTCTCCATGCCACTCTCCAAAGTCATCTCTTCCCTAACTCCAGACCCTCTGAAATTTTTTCACCCACTAAAACACTGGCTTCTTCTCTTTATTAGTTCTCCCCTGACAGATCCAAAGTCTTCTGATTTTTCTCCCTGTTTCCTACACAGTCTTCCTCCATCAAGTCCATGGGTTGCACCCATTTAGGAGAGTAGCTCATGTTACAGCACTGAGCTCAAAGGCCTCTCTTTTCCCACCTAGAAGTAATCAACCACCTCATGAGAGAGTAACTAATTTTACTGTAGATAAAGACACATCCATCCTTTATATCTCATACACCATCATGGCCTGAATACCTAAATGGGTGAGAAACTAAAGAATCAAAGAAAAGGTGGTATCTGAAACCTTAGATTGTAAAAAGTTGCAACAGTGGCCTTCTGAAGTTAGGTAACCTCCAAGAAAGGCTAGCAATCCACTAAGAACAATGTGATCCTGATCCCCTAGAGCAGCGGTTCTCAACCTTCCTAATGCTGCGACCCCTTAATACAGTTCCTCATGTTGTGGTGACCCCCAACCATAAAATTATTTTTGTTGATACTCTATAACTGTAATTTTGCTACTGTTATGAATCGTAATGTAAATATCTTTTTGTTTTCCAATGGTCTTAGGCGACCCCTGTGAAAGGGTCGTTCGACCTCCAAAGGGGTCGCGACCCACAGGTTGAGAACCGCTGCCCTAGAGCACTGCAAGATTTTATACTCTTCTTCTGGGGAGATGCCTCCATTTCCCAGATGGGGACCTTGAAGTACTAGACTTATTGCAGGCTGAGTTGAAGCAATAAAACTTGGGACTAACTGACCTCTGAAGCTTGGCCTGTCCAGAGCATTTCCCTGAGGTGCTCACTCATTATACCCAGAGGCATGGGTCTTACTTAAAGTCAATGCCTTTCCAGCTACCCATCAAACAAATTTTCTTAAAGTCAGCAAAGAAAGACAGTGACTGCCTAGTCCAACAGAGTAGGAATCACAGATACCTATTCATCTGCCACTCAGAGGCTCCCACCTGATGCCCACACCTGGGCAGACTGATAACCTGCCTATCCGAAAACCAAGCACCACACATACTCCCATGGACTGGCATGCACAGGCACACACACTTGAGCATACATTGAGGTAGGTTCTCCAACAAGACTATAATTCCCAACTGTCCTTGGCTGAGAGATAGGACAAGGAACAGGAGGCTAAAAAATGAGACCTGCCACTCAAGCACCACCACTGGCCAACACAGCACACACTGCTGATCAATGAGCTGCATCCTTTGGTGTGACCATAGGTGAGCTAATCCTCAACCCGGGGCCTCCATTTCTTCATGTATAAAATAAGGGACCCAAGGTCTCTTACTGCTAGCTGTAATATTCCTGATTCTCAGACCTCTACCAGTTCTCTGCAGAGTCAGGATGCTTTCTAGTGAGAAGTAGGATGCGGAACAAAATCAAGGGCTGACTTCTAGGCAGGGACACAGGGTTCACATTTTGATGACCCAGTTTCCCTTGCAATGTTGTCAAATGACCCGAGGCAGCAGGAACCAGGAGGAACAAACTCTGCTGGATTATTGGCCCGAAACAGCTCCCAGGGATCTGGGCATTAAACCAGTGTACTCCCTACCCTGGCCAGGACCCTCACCTCAGTATTGAAAACAGTAACCTGCCCAAGACCAAAAAAACACAACAACAACAACAACAAAGACCTCACCACACACAAGTGCTTTTCGGTATTAGATGGTAAAGATCTAAAACCCTGGCTCAGACTACAGTTCATCAATCTCCAGCCACAGGCTCCTCTATCAAAACAAAGCAAAAACTCTTGCTGGCCCCAGGGCCCTCTGTCATCATTTGGTCTCATAAGCAATTTCAAGTGCTCAGAAAAGTCAGGGAGACTAAATAACTGAAATCCACAGGAAATCCAAGCCATTAGAGCTTCATCTTCCTCATTTCAGACTTTTAGTTGGTGAAGTTGGGTGTTTCAGGTCCTTTTACTTCCTATACTCATTCCTGGTGTAGGGACTTAACAATCAAAGGGTCAGAATGCAAGAAGTAAGTGGCTACAAGAGGAAGAAAAAAGACCTTAAACAACCAGGACATAAACAAAGTCTTCCAGCTCAAACAGTGTCCGCCTCCAACTTCCTGAAGGGGCTACTGGAAAATCTCAAAGCACCCCCAAGGATCCAGGGGATCTCTCTCTCATCTTAATCACCATCCATTATCACACCTGTCATGAGCATACAATAGAAAGCTCAACAAATGAGAAGTCAACATCTTTGACATGAACACCAACGGAGAAGGAAGGAAGACACATTATTTCTAAGAATAGTCTTTGTAATCGGGCCTCACCTTCCCTCAAATGGTTACATTTTCTATTCTCCCTAACCCAGGAAGACCTTGGTAAAATGTCTGTGGTTCAAGCAAGCCTGTGTTTCTCCAGTTGATACATCTTGTTCAATAAGAAAAAAAAAGAAACCCAGGGATGATTTCCATAGTCAGGGGTAAGCAGGTCTGGAGGGTGGTAAACTTGGAGCAGTCACACCAACCAAATGACCAGAAACAGAGGAATAGTCAGGCAGGCCAATGCTTGCCCTGTCAACTGGTCAGTGAGGGGGCAGCGGGTTATAAGGAACAAGGGGGGAAACACATGCAACAAACAGGGTGAGGTGAGAAAAGAGGGAGAGAGGATGAAAGCGATTCCACCGCACCCAGGCCTTGCCAATGAGTTCCAGGGGCGGCCCGAATTGAGCATACCAGACGCGGGAAGCCAGAGGGGCTGGAGGGAAGGGGAGGCGGCGACAGCATACCACGGAGACACCAGGCCTCGGGGGCGCTGAGTGCACACCGGCCAGGACGGCGTGCAAGGGTCGGGTGGGCGTGCAAGTGGCTTGGAGACGTGTTGCAGGCGTCCCTGGCAGGGCCCGTGGGGCGAGGGCCGGGGGCGGCGGGGGGCGTGGGAGCGCGCGGGGGAGCTGGTTACCGTGTGGTTCACCCCCCACATCAGAACGCTGAGGATCGGCTCGCTGGCCCGGAATAGCTTCACTTTCTGGCACACGAAATGCTTCTTCTTGGTCTTGGTCTTGCTGGCGCTCAGCGGCGCCACCGCCACCGCCGTGGTGCTGGTGCAGTTGGACGACATGCCCGGGGCGGCGGCGGCGGCGGCGAAAGGGGGGGCGACCGAGAAGGCGCACAAGCCAGCGGCCCCAGGCCTCCCCGGGACCGATCCCCACCTCCGCTCCCTCACCGCGCCATGGTCGCGCCCGTCCCGTTACCTCCCCACCCCGCCCCGGTGGTTCCGTCCGCCCAACGCTCCGCCCTTCCCGCCCCGCCCCCAGGGAGATGGCCGGCTTGCTCCGCACCCCGCCCCCGAGCTGTGCCACCGCCCTGCAGTCACTAGGACCTATCCTCCCCCCCGGGGTGGTACAGCCGGTCCCGGGGAGGCAGCGGCCTCCCCGCGCGCCCCTCCTCCCCGGGCCTGACAGGAACCGAGCTGGCCTCCGCGCGCTTCAAAGCCCCGCACCGGAGCGGGGAGGGTGGGAGGTTTGGGTGGGTCTCGCTGTCTACCGCGGGAGGGGCTGCCTGTCCAGACCCCGCGAAGCCAGGGTTTGGCTCTTTCCCTCAACCTGACATGCCAAGATGGCGGCAGCGCCACTGCTCGGGAGGGGAGAAGGGGCGGGAATGCGAAGAGGGTGGGACGTACCATCCCACCCCGGGGGAAACAGGAGGAACACAGCAAGGGAAAAAGGAAGTCCTGCCGGGAAAACCAAGGAACGCCCCCTCGCCCCACCCAAGCGTGGATCTTCCCACTCCCCTGGGCCTGAGGCGCGCTCTACCCGCGGGACACGCCTCTTTCCCCAAGGGCCAATGAGAAGAGCCGGCCGAGAACTCCCTGAGTTTTATGAATGGGTCCCACACTCACCCACCTGCTGCCGGCCTCCTCCCGCCAAAGGGTCGAGTTAAGAGACCGCTGGCATCTTAAGACACCTGTCCTACAGCGGAGAGTCATAATCGTCTTATTCTGATTCACTTCATGAAATCTTTGAGTAAACTGCCCACACTTTATTACATAATTCCTTTTGGACCAAGGATCTCCATATATTCAACACAAATTATGGGTCAATAGTGTTCTGTATAGAAATTCGTAAATTCGGTTCTCAGCACATGGTCACTCTTTAAAGTTACAAAAATAAATGTAGTCTTTATTACCAAGTAATATAATAAAAGACATAATTAACCCTAAAATAGGGGAGCAGGATGGGGTGATTAAATGAATAACAAGTGTATATTACTTTCACTCTGGGGAAAGATTGGGTTTTAAGTATTACAGTGCCTGGCATCATAAGTGCTCAAAAATATAAATTCAAATTTGTTTCACGCAGAATGAGGAATTAGCAGAAAAGGAGCTAGTGCAGCTAATGTGTGAGTCAAGAGAGCCGAGGAGTTCATGTGTCAAATGAGGGCTTCTGGTGAAAGAGCAGAGAAGGGAAAGGAGAAAGACAAGAGATTGGTCCCATCAGTTTTGGAGTTTTTTTTTTAATACCTGACTAAAAATAGTAGCAAACAACTCCTGAAAATCTAGAATGGTAATAACTACATGATAAAAGGGAAGCCATGAAATAAACAGCTTCCATTTTACTTGCTTTTAAGAGCCAGAGAGCATACTGGCAATTTGGCCCTAATTTCTAAAATCACTGGACTTCACCACTGCACTGCCTACATGAAGACTCTAAGAAATGTAAAAGGATGGATACCCTAGATCTTTTTAATAAACTCAGGCCCCTGCTAAACTAGCTGTATTCACAGAGGAAAAAAAAGCTGACTGCCTTACTGTATTACTCGATTACAAAATACAATGTGCTTCCATTTCATAGTAAAGTCACTTACCAAACAATATATTCTCACAAAGCTAACTTTTTTAAAAGCATATAAAAATTATACATTTATACATATACACACTATACGTTTACAGTTTTAAAGATACTCCAATGGTTCAACAGTTCATTTATGGATTGTTTTATATTGTTTCCCCTTTCAGATTCTTTGCCATTCCCTTGGCTCTGTCCTAACCTGGTATCATTCTGTCACATATCTACTAAATGGAGTAAATGTTCATTTACCCCAGTAAGCACAAGCTATCTGGGTGACTGACTCTGGAGACGGAGTTTTCTAAAAGGTCTGATCTATACTGAAGCGGTGGGGCAGGTCTGTTCACACAGGTGGGAGGAAAGTGGCATAATAAGAATCACGACCACAGGGAGCAGCCTTCCAGAGCAGGAGCAGCGCTCACATCTACACGGTCCAGTGTCCACCCATTACAAACAGTTAAAACACACTCTGCACCCAGCAGAAGTTACTGAGGGTCCCATAGAGTAAGTCACACTAGTTCTCAAAAGAAGTAGCTGTTTCTGGAATCGATGTAGGAGAGTCACTTTGAACAGTGGTGGTTTGACATCTGTGGAAGAAGTCACGTGAACTCTTATAAAGAGAATTTTTAAGGGGTCAGCAGTTTCCCTGGGAGATTCAGGAAAACCAGGAAGAGAGGGGGGATGGTTTTCATCTTTTCATGAAGTTCTTCTCCAGAGCTACTGAGGTTCTCTGTAGAGAGTAGATGTTCCGCTTTACCCGATCCTCTAGGGAGGAGGTAGATGCACTTTCTAGCTTCATGCGGCTAGGGAGAGAAGACAGGCAACTGTAACAAACGTGTCAACTGGTCAACTATTAGCAGAATTAGAAGAAACAGGTTATTAGCCACAAAGCAGCTGTAGAAACACAAGCTCTTTTAAGCCCATATAGATAACGTTAGAGTGACTCCATCTGGAACTCAATTTTTCAAACCACTTTCGTTAAGGGAAAATTTCTCTGTTTTGGAAAATAAATCAAAGCCTCACTAGAAAAAGGATTCCTAAGCCATGAATTCTTATTTAAAAGGAAGGCCAAAGAGATTGGATGAAAATACTACTTTTCATCCAATAAAAAACATTCCACTGTCTGGCCAGGAGGTGAGAGTTAGTATTATACAAAGGTGGTCTAGAGGTTGAGCTGCGTGTTCTCTTCACAAACACAGAAACACTGGGAACACAATGAATGAATCAGATCAGATGCCCAACTGCCTCCTTGGGAGCATTGCCAGGAAAGCCGTTAGGCAGGAAGAAGATGCACTCACTGGATAAACTTCCCATCCCGGGAGTCGAGCTTCTCCAGCCGCTGCTCCCGTTCGTCATCCTTAGCATGCCTCTTGAGGATGTTCAGTCTCTCCTCCTCCCGCCACTTGGCATTTTCCATCATCTCTTGTCGTTTTCGCTCTAGTTCCTCTGATGAGAGCTTTCTGTTGAATACAAAAACCATCCTATCAAGTCTACTTCTCTCCCGGCAAAAAAAATAGAACCACCTCAGGGAGAACAGGTTCTCTAGCTCACTGCTCTCTTTCCACAGACATGCCCAGCCCAGTGCCAAACTTACCTTGGTCAGGTGGTTTAATCCAAATTTCAAACACTTTTAGTGAAGGATTCTAAAATATTAAATATAAAATACTCCAATTTTTTGCTCAACAACTTATAGAAGAACAGAGGACTAAGTTATGCATGTGACTGCTGACATCTACCATCTACCCACTGGAGATGCTGAGAAATGCACAGACATAGCCCATAAGCATACCACTTCAGCACCAGACTAGAAGCCAGATGCCTGAAGAATTCAGTTTCATCTCAGAAAGTAATAGGTGGGTCTTCTTTCCTAGAATTCACTGCAAATGAAGTTAGAGCAAGGAGCAGAGGTGATGAACCAGCTCAATCACTATTTAGCACTGTCAGACATCCAAATCCATTCTCAAATGGGTGTGACATACACATCCCCTTTAAAAGGACAAATTATTATCAGAGCTCCATGAGGGAGTGGGAGCCCAATTTTGAGAAATAAACTTAAGATACTAAAACTTGACATTGTTATTTATAGTGAAATGACATGCTCCCTTTAAAAAATCCCACTAATTAAATTTGTAAAACCACGAAAAGAATGGGAGAGAAGATAACACTGGATAGGAGATGTCAACAAGGGCTGGCCAAGTGGCGCGTTGGTTAAGAGCTGGCTTGGGATGCCAGCTCTGAGCAGCAGGGCCCCGGTTCAGATCCCACATTAGGGCCAGTGACACTGCGCCCTCTATAGCTAAGATGGTGAACAACAGCTCGACCTGGAGCTGGGCTGCCGTGAGTTGCCGGTGAGGGCGTAGGCTGCAGTGGGGCTGGCCAACATCTGGCGTGAGCTTTTGTGAGCCGCCGTGAGCGGCTGTCGAATGGCCGGTGAGCGAATGCCTCACCCGGGAAGAGCGCAATGATAATACCAACATGGGCCTGTGAAGCGACGTCCTCCACAACTAGACTGAAGAACAAAAAGGATAGCAACTTTTCTGTTCCCCTTTCCCAATTTCCCAATGCTGTTCCCCTCCCCCAATTCAACAAAATCTTTAAAAACATGTTGTGTTGCCTGTAAGAAATCTAGAAAGCAGTGAAAAATAATATAAATTAAATGGAAATCCCACAAAACCCCAAAAAAATTTTAAAAGAAAACAATTGTCTTAGTCTATATAAAAACTGCTTTAGATTGTGATTCTCATTGCAAGAGAAGCTTCACCTTTTCAGCTGGTAAAAAAGTTGTTTCAGATCACCAATGGAAAAAAAGCACACACACAAAAGAAAACACAAAGATTTTTAAATTCTCACAGAACTCTTAGGTCCTTGAGGAACTATCCAGTGTCTCTCAATCTGAGAAACACTGATTAAATAGTGCTAAAAAAAGGTTTTACAGCAATAATTTTTCTCTTTTTGTCTTAATTATCATCATCTTAGTTACATAAAGCAACCTCAACTACCTGAAACAAAACAGATATCACTAAATCCATGCATTCATTCAAGTTTCTTTGTTTTTACCCCTGGGTCTTGAGGGCTTTAACTCCTTTTCAATCACAAAATTCAACAAAAATTCTAAGGGCAATAAGAAAGACTCACAAAATAAGGCAAATTCAATAATGTCATATGGCAAGAGACAAAATCAAAGCAGGATCTGAGAAAGCATAGTCATGTGCTGATCAAGAGCCTTAAAATATATTAAAAAATACACACACTCATGCTCGTCCCTCTCTAAGAGCAGCATGAATTATAGCACAGCCAAAGAACTGACCCAGTGTCACCAATAAAAGATTAAATTATGCATAATGTACTGTGTCTGAGAAAGCAGAGAAATATGTAAAATATTTTTGAAAGTTGCCAGTAAGATTTAAACCCTTTAAAAAAGTTTCTGTTCTCTGGAAACTCAAGGAGTCAGGCAATTAAGAGTTAAAAGGGGCATTAGGGCCCACCTCTATTCTAACAACATAGTGAATATAAGAGGTTGTATTGGGTTGTCGGAAAAGTCATGACGTATTTTTTCTATGTTTTTCGTTGCAAAAATGCGTCATGACTTTTCCGACAACCCAATAGAGTCCAGCCCAAGCTGAGCAGCCGCTGAGCTGCCAATAGGTAGCAGGATGGCTCAGCTAAAAAATAAAATAAAAAAAAATACTGATGGTCTGAGTCCAACCCGAGATTACAACGTAACAGGGCTGGGTTGTAGCTGGGTAATGGGATTTTTTTTTAGTTTCCCAGGTGATTCCAATGTGCAGCCAATTTGTTTGTGCAGTAAAAGGAAGTTCACAAAAGTTGCCCGTCTCATCTAAACTTCTACCTAAGAGCAACCCAGACTCCTAGGGACAGCTTTTCATGGGCATAGCTCCAGATGCCACGGCTGCACACCTGTACTCTATCTCTTCCAATCCACACGCAACTCAAACACAGAATCCATCTTAGGATGTCTGCCCTCAATGAGAGCGTCCTGCTTGCCTTTCAGCTGATGCCTCAAGAAAGGAATACACTCTCAAGAAAAGCTTCTCTGTGGAAATCAATGAGAATTTACATGTTTACAGATATTGAGAGACAGTCAATTAGTTGTTTATTAAGTCAAAACTACTCACTTTGTCCTTTTACTGTGCCTCATATGGTGAGGAGGTAAAGCAGATTGTTAAAAGTTGACAAGAAGAATTTAAAAAGCTGGTTGGGCAAAAAGGTGATATAGATTGTCCACGTGCTCTGGTTTGGGCCACTCTTAGGCTCAGGCCTGCAGTTTGAAGGTCATCTCCTGGCTCTTGACTCACCTGGTGTATCCAGGCGCATGCCGCCTTTGGTAGACTTCTTTTTTAGGAGATGGGCTTTTAGTTCGGCCTCTCTCTTTCCTGTTTACCTTCGAGTTGTGCCTGTAACAGACACAGAGGGCAGAGAGGAGAAAAGCTTTTACAATACAGGGGTTTTTACCATGTCCCTCAAACACTGGAAGAAAAGCTAACTATCAGAACTGTAATCCAAATTGAAGAGAATAGAAGACAGAAGTAGAAGAAAAACTAAGGCATAAAGATATGTAAGATTTGATGTTAAACACACTCTAAAGATTCCACATATATAAATATGTAGTTTTAGGGGCCTCAGCTGGTAAAAAAAGCTGAGGTGGGGGGAAAAAATGATATAAAGGGAATAACAAAAACATCTAAAAAAATGAATGAGGGCCGGCCAAGTGGCACGATGGTTTAAGAAATGGCTTGGGACGCCAGAGGGACCCGGTTCGGATCCCACATATGAGGGCCAGTGACACTGCCCTCTACAGCTGAGATGCTGAATGGCAGCTCAACCTGGAGCTGGACTGCTGTGAGTCACCGGCGATGGCATAGGCTGCAGCCCCTGTGGCAGTGGGTTGCCATGGGCTACCGTGTGTAGCCAGCAGCCAGCGTGAGCAGCCGGCAGCCGCAGTGAGCGGCCGTCCAGAAGCCGGCGACTGATCTGCCTCGCCCGGGAAGAGCGCAATGATGGTGCCAACTTGGGCCAGTGGAACAGCGTCCTCCACGACTAGACTGAAGAACAAAACAACAGCAACTTGTCTGTTCCCCTTCCCCCAATTCCCCAGCACTGTTCCCATCCCCCCAATTCCCCAATAAAGGTCTTTAAAAAAAAAAAAATGAATGAACATCACCAAAAGCAAATACCTGCTGTGACCAGGCCCCCACATGCACAGGTAATTTCCCAGTAATTTCCCACACTCACGGTTTGCTTGGCCTTGGGGACCGTGTCTTTCTGCCCGGGGATCGAGACCTCCTGTCTCGGGACCCTGCTTCTCTGGTGCTCTTCCTGCTGGCATGTCTGGGAGGTGAGTGGGAGGAGCTTCTGGACCTGGAGTGATTTTTCCACCCGTGCACTCCCTTTGGCTCAGCCATCAGAGGACCCTGCAGTCCCTGACTATGGTCGGAGCCCCTGATCTATATCATCAAGGAAAGGAAGAAAGGCTAGTCATAGGAAAATTCAGCAGCTCAGGAGAAAAGGCAGTGAAACAAGAAAATGAATGAGCACTGAGGTTCTGTAAGGAGACAACTGGGTAAACCCATCCCTTCACAGAGAACCATGCAAACTTAGGAAAGTTATCTTCAGGATTTCCTTAACGAATATATCCACTCAGCCACCTAAGCTGGCTTGGCTCTTCACTACAGCTTAAGGAGGGGTAACAGGCAGAGCAGGAAAGACAGGACCTCAGGTTAAACATATTGAGGGAAAAGGAGGAATCCAGGGGGATGTACATTTGTCAAAAGTCATCAATCTGTATATTTCAATGTATACATTTCATGGAAATTATTTGCAGAGGGCTGGGCAGAATGCCTAAATGCTCCACTGGTGATTTAGCCTCTCTGCTCAGAGGGCCCTCAGCCAGTCAGAGGCTCAGGAACAGGAAAGAGGCCTGTTCCCCAGCAGCCCCAGTCTTTATTACTCAAACTCTCCTCTCACACATAATGTTTGATTGGCTGCTAAAAACATTCTATATCCAAAAAGGCTGTCAAGTTGGCCTGTTCCACAGTCCCACCGTCACTCCCTTTGAGAAGCCCAATTCTTACCTGTAAGCCATATCCAGGAACTTTGGACAAAACAGAGGAAGAATTTGCCATCTTCTTTTGAGATCTAAGGGATTAGAAACACACACTCATTGAAAAAGAAAGTGCGCGAAGGTCCAGTTTAAATCTCTTGTACTGAAATGTGCTTCCTGTTTCAAGCGTGACCTTTCCCACCTCCCACCTATTACTTGGGAATGTGTCTCTCTATTTGGACTGTCTTTGCTGGAAGATGCATCAGCAGTCATGTTTTTCCTGTGAAAAACCGTGGGCCTAGCTTTTCAGCCCCAACGCTTGAACACATTCTCCTCTCACCTCGTGCTGCTATTTCAGGGATTAAGAGTGAGTCAGCAGCGACAGTGCTGACTGCTCCCACAGAGAAGACACAGAATGGGCCTAGATGGGCCCATTAATACATTTAAAAAAAAAAAGAAAAAAGCCTACATAAAATTCGCTTTAGTCTTGGAGGAATCACCATCTTAGACGAAAGTCATAACCAGGATGTCTGACCGAAGACCTATAAGGCTACGGTCAGCTCTGTTATGGAGCCATGCCAAGATCTCCAAGGAACTCTGGTGCTAGATGGCAAGCTCTGTGGGCTCAGGGCCTGTGTACAAGTTCACCACTAAAACTGCAGCTAGTGTCTATGGAATGAATGAGTGAGTGAATCCATGATGAGGGAGGCCCGCCTCCGCATGCTCACCTCCCCCGGTTGCGTTCATCCTCACTGCTGCCACGATCACTACTTGAGCTCCTGTGCTTATGTTTCTTGTGCTTCTTTTTCTTCTCCTTCTTTTTCTTCTTGTCCTTTTTTTCCAGACTCATTTGCAACTATAAAATGCCCAAAACATAACCACACAAGATTACTGAGACCCCTGTCAGTCCTTCTGAGGGGACTGAGTTATGCATAGACTACCTGACTCCTAGCCTGTGGGTCTGCGTGGGGCCAGGACATTATCAGAGTTTCCCTGTCAACAACTGGGAGGGTCTTAACCTTGGCTGTGCACAAAGGGGCCTTAGGCTAGTGAACAGAATCTCTGGTGGGTGGGACTAGGAATTTGTGTTTTTTTAACAGTCCATGGAACCACTGCCTAGCAGTTTCCACCTGTCAAAAGAACTTAGACTCCACTGAAAGCAATCAAGGACTATAAGATGAATCTTTAAATTTTCCTTACCAACTGATCCAAGAAACAATCACATAATACAGCGGTTCTCAACCTGTGGGTTGCGACCCCTTTGGAGGTTGAACGACCCTTTCACAGGGGTCGCCTAAGACCATCGGAAAACAAAAAGATATTTACATTACAATTCATAACAGTAGCAAAATTACAGTTATAGAGTATCAACGAAAATAATTTTATGGTTGGGGTCACCACCACATGAGGAACTGTATTAAGGAGTCGTGGCATTAGGAAGGTTGAGAACCGCTGACATATGTCATGTGAATGACGAAGGGTCCCTGGAGACTCTACCACCTGACTTCCTGAAAACACTGTAGGACCATGCTTTACACAGGCATATCCCATACCATTCTTCATCTAAAACAATTATATCACATGGTGCTTTTCCAACCAAAAGACATAAAAAAGGAAATCAAGCTTAATTAAGCTTGATAAATTAAATCTACACAAAATCACCAAGAAAAGGTCTCTAAAAGACAAAAATTTTTAAACCATTCTGTTTGAACCTCTTGTAAGGTAAGAGTAAGTGGAGAGTTCTCATGTGAAGTACCTAAAAGATACTCCTGGTGCTTATTTGATGAATTACTTACCAATTCTTTGATTTTCTTCATTTTCACAGGATTATTCAATACTTCTCTTTTTTTCTCCTCCTCCTTCTTCCTAAAGAAAGAGAGAAAATTATAAAAATCATGACTATTTCTTTTGGGAAGGATATTAAGTCATTCATTATACACTCCACAATTCTATTTACCAATCTATTTTCAAAATACAAGATAGACCCTATGTGGGCCGGCCAAGTGGCGCGATGGTTAAGAACTGGCTTGGGACGCCAGAGGGCCCCGGTTCGGATCCCACATATGAGGGCCAGTGACACTGCCCTCTACAGCTAAGATGCTGAACAACAGCTCAACCTGGAGCTGGGCTGCCGTGAGTCGCCGGCGACGGCGTGGGCTGCAGCCCCTGCTGCAGTGGGTTGCCATGGACTACCATGTGTAGCCAGCAGCCAGTGTGAGCGGCTAGCAGCCACAGTGAGTGGCCAGCAGCCACAGTGAGCGGCCGTCCAGAAGCCGGAGACTGATCTGCCTCGCCTGGGAAGAGCGCAATGATGGTGCCAACTTGGGCCAGTGAAGCAACGTCCTCCACAACTAGACCGAAGAACAAAACAACAACTTGCCTGTTCCCCTTCCCCCAATTCCCCAGCACTGTTCCCATCCCCCCAATTCCCCAATAAAAATCTTTAAAAAAAAAAAAAGATAGACCCTATGTTGAAATCTACTTGATGTGGAAGCCAGAAATCTTCCCCAAATCTGCATAAGGGATTAAATATTGTGGGGAAAGTCCACACTGATTCCCTATGGTGCAAGAAAGTGAGTTTGGGGGCTGGCCGAGTGGCTCAGTTGGTTAAGAGCTCACTCAAGAGTTTGAGCTCTGAGCAACAGTGGTTTCAATTCCCGGCCAGAGCTGAGCTGCGAACAGGTAGCAGGATAGCTGGGCTTAAAAAAAAAAAAAAAAAGTTAGTTTGTTGTTTCTTCTTAAACTTCATGCTCAGGGATTCCCAACTGGTCAAGTAAATGCGTGTCATCCTGTGTGTCAATTGGTTGCTGTGTATCAACTGGCTGCAACATTCCAATACTACCTCCACTATTTAGCATGATAACCACCTGGGAAATAAAGAGAATGGATTCCTCTTTCAAGAAGTAGCACTCTCTTATGTTGTTAATAGGAGAGTAAATTGGAGGTCAAGTTGGCCACACCTATGACAGCCTGCACTTGCTCTTTGGTTTCAAGAATTTATTACTGTAAGGAAATAATCGAGGAAGGTCACTTGAAACCTTCAAGTTATTATAACAATGAAAATTTGGAAACAAGTTAGAGACTCAGAGAGTATTAATAAAATAAATTATGGTATATCCATACAATATAGACATAAAAATGATGTTATAAAAGCATAGTTAGTGACATAGGAAGATGTTTGATATAAATGATTAGGTGAAAAAAAGTAGATTATAAAATAAGATTCACAATATTAGTACACTGATGTTCACAGCAGCATTATTCACAATAGCCAAAAGGTGGAACTAACCCAAATGTCCATCCACAGTCAAATGAATAAACAAAATGTATGCAGTGAAATATTATTCACCCTTAAAAAGGAAGGAAATTCTGATACATGCTACAACATGGATGGACCTTGAAGACATTACGCTAAGTGAAATAAACTAGTCACACAAAGTCAAATATTGTATGATTTCACTTATATGAGGTCCCTAGAGTAGTCAAACTCATAAAAATGGAAAGCAGAATGGTGGTTCCCAGGGGCTGGGGGGAAGGGGAAATAAAGAGCTGTTGCTTAATTGGTATAGAGCTTCAGTTTTACAAGATGAAAAACTTACAGAGATTGACAGGTTGCACAAGGTGGATACATTTAACACTACTGAACTGTACGCTTAAAATGGTTAAAATGTAATTTTAATGTTATGTGTATTTCACCGCAATTTTTTTTTAAAAAGGATATTCTGATACATGCTAACCCGGGATGGACCTTGAAGACATTTTGCTGAGTGAAATAAGTCAGTTGCAAAAGGACAGCTACCATATGATTCAATTCCACTTACATGAAGTAACTAGAGTAGTTAAATTCATAGAGACAGAAAGTGAATAGTGGTTGCCAGGGGCTGGGGGGAGGAAGGAATGAGGAGTTGTTGTTTAATGAATATAGGGTTTCAGTTTGGGATGATGGAAAAGTTCTGGATACAGATGGTGATGATGGTTGCACAACAATGTGAATGTACTTAATGCCACTGAATGTAGACTTAAAAATGGTTAAGATGGTAAATTTTATGTTATGTATATCTTACCATAATTAATTAAGAAGCTAACAAAACGGGAGAAAATATTTGCGTATACATACTGTACAATATCTTTACATATACATATGCAATACCTTTAACATATAACTTTAAAATAATTTTCAAAAGAAGAAATATAAATAACAAATAACCATTTTTGAATGTTTAACCTTACACACTTGAAATAAAATATTGCAAATTAAACCCCCCCAAAATAATATATACGGCATGATCTTATTTAGCACCCAAAATGCAGCTCTATTTTGATCTGTTATGTTCAAATAAGATTCTAAAGTTTCTTTTTAAAGGGTTCTACTGCAGAAAAAAAAAGGAGGGGTGCAGATGGGGAAAGAGGGCCTGTTCACCCACCTAAACAACTCTGTACATATCCCCACATTTCCAAGAAGCTGCCAGTCTTTCTTACCTTGCTTCTACCTCCTATTTTTGTTTAAGGGACAACAGTAAATGAATAAATCTGGTTTGGTCTAGTCTAGTCTGGTCCATTTGCCAATCTCGTCCCATATGGCCTATATCAGGCACCCATAATGGAGCCTCCTTCCCAACATTGCAAAGCCCAAATGGAGACAAATCCTTTTACATGACAGACAAAAGGTTGAGAGGAAACCAACTGTGAAGTGAGAGGCTATATAACATCTCTACGAAGCATCTCTGTAACAAAACCCCCTTCCCAGGCCCTCAACAGTACCTGATGATGAAGAGTGGGTCCTCCCGGATTTTGCTAGCCATGTCAAGAAGAGAATTGGCACCCGACGGGGCAAAGATAGAGCCTGGGAGGAGTCCTGTCTCAGAAGAACAGCCTGCCTCCTTCTCCTCCATCTTCTCGAAAACATATTTGTCAATGGGGCGCCCCAGCAAGTACTCATCACGGTTCACCATCCCACCAGGACCCTGGTACATCCAGTCCAATTTTTCTTCTTTTTTCCTAGTTTAAGAAAAAAAGTATATATATATAATCAAAGGAAACGTAGACCACTGCAAACCTACACACAAAACCTGAACACATGGGACAGGTAACCACAGCTGGTCAGAGGAGGACTCATACCACAAGGCACCTAGCACAGGCTAAACACGGTACTCCACGTGGCACAAGGGAAGACATGGCGCTTGCCAGCATGGAGCTTACCATTCAATGGAGAGATCATTTCCACACACATTTACTCCCACCTCTTTTTATGTGATGGGTAGGATAATTATTATCTGCTATTCCTATCCTATATTATATAAGTGGAAACTAAAGTAGGGAAAAATCGAGTGGGGCTCTCCACGGTTACACAGCTTTTACTGACAGACACACCATCCACACCTCCTTCCATGGGACCTCACTGCCCCTCTGAACTGAGTTTGCAATATATAAACAAACAAACAAAAAAAGGACTAAGGCCTCGACACATACTGAGAGGCAGGTAGAGGCAATCATCCTCAGTCACTTTTATTTGTCAATAATCTACCATGAGGTTGGCCTACACTAAGTCCTTTACATTATCTCATTCGATCCTCAACAAACCTTAGGAACTGGGTACGCTCACTCTTCTGGGCCTACTGAGGTAACCAAGGCTCCCAAACTTGCCCCCAGTTACATGGCTAGGCTAGTACATGCTAGTACACGGAGCCTCAGAACCAAGGTCAGTTGGACTCCAAAACCCATGTTCTCAAGCATCTATTATGCAACAACTGGATGAAGCACCTGCAGGCCAGTCCTTGAGTTTCCTACATGCCTGGACACCTCCCACCCAAACTGCCCCACCACGCCCTCAGCTCCTGGCTTACTTGACAGCCCCGACATCCTCAGCGTAGCGCTGCATCTCTTCCCGGGCCCTCTCCTCCCGCAGCTCCCGCTGAAGCTCCTCAATCTTCTTCCGCTCAGCCTCATGCTTCTGCTCAGCCTTCCACACTTTCTCCACATTGCGGAGGGTCTGTGGGTGCCAGCTCTTCTTCAGATTCTGTGGCAAATGAAAGGAGGGAGAAAACAATTCAGGGAGTGTGTGAGTGATGAGTATAACTGGCCCTGCCCCACCCACCCCTCTATACCTTCCTAATTCATGCTAAGGCAGTCATATGCAAGGGCAAGACATCTTTAACAATGGCAAGGTTGGTAACCAATAATCTCTCACACACCGGGCTGGGATTGGAGGGCACACTGTTCAAGTACATAAAGCTTCAGGATGAACAGGCCCTTCCTGGATTCCCTTCAAATACTTTTAACCTGAGATGCATGAGTCTGACTTCCATTGGCCATGCCTGAAGCGAGAGTTGGTGATGACAATACAGGAGGAATGGGGCAGGGAGGTGGGAACATATAGACTCTACAGAAAGGCAACAGAACTGAAGTGCCTTTGGCACTGGGCATTCATTGTTATGAACACAACCTTCTTTTCCTTGAGTCCACTTAACCTACCTTAAACTTGCATGGTTTACAACCTCATCTTGTACCTGTTTCAACCTTGCTTCCCAGGCATCTCCCCTTAGTCCTGATCTCCCCTTCACCTTCAAGGAATGCTTCACCTCTCCCTCCTCCCCATGAGCCACTGCTCTGGTTCAGCTTTCCAATGAAGGAAGGTTTCCTGGAGGAAGTGACATCTAAGGACAATTATTAATTAGCACAGTGATGTAGGGATGGGGAGGAGGGGGAAAGATTTCCAAACAGAGGGAACAGCACACACAGGTACAGGCCCAATGTTAAGAAAGAACACAGCACAAATAATTCAGTGTGGCTGGAGATGGAGTGTAAGCTGATGGGGAGGGGGCTCAAGACGAAACCAGCTAAGAAAGGAACAGATTAAGGGCCTTAGAAACCACATCAAAGGGCTGGATTTTATTCTGTTGACAGTAGAAAGCACTAAACAGTCATATGCAGGTGAGATGCATGACTAGCTATCATGTGAAGAATGGACTAGAGAGGACCAAGGTTGGAGACCAGGAGACCAGTTCAGAAGTCTAAGTGAGAAAATGTACACAGGGTACCTGGAACATGGAAGGTGTTCAGTCAATGAGGTCTCCCTTTTCTTTCTTTTTCTGTCTTCCTATCCTTCCTTTCCCTTCATCAGGTCACCCAGTCCTTCCTTCCTTCCTTCCTTCCTTCCTTCCTTCCTTCCTTCCTTCCTCCCCACCATGCCCCAACCCCTGCCAACCTTGTTCTCCTGTTCTTCCTCTCCCTCCTCTAACATGATTGATTTTGCCCCCGAGGGAACATTTGGTAAGACTTGGAGACACTTTGGGTTGTCACAACTAGGGGAGAAGGGTGGTACTGGCATCTAGTGGCTAGAGGCCAGGGATGCTGCTAAACATCCTACAATGCAAAGGACCACACACAAAAACAAAGATTTACCCATCCCAAAATGTCAATAGCATTGAGGCTGGAAAACCCTGGATTACAACGTTCCTGTCCCTAAATGCAGTTACCTGAAGAATACACTAAATCAGAGGAAACTTGATGGAGTCTTGGGACTCATTCTACTTGATAACGCCCAAGAAACTCTAAAACCATTACTAGGCTGGTGGCTAAATTGATCTATTTGCTGATTCAATTAGCTATATGCTTTCCAGACCTTAGCATTTTTCTGATCTTGCATCATGCTCTTATGGGTCATTTGCCCTACTTGGGGCCATAGACACTTACAAATGAACTATACAGTTTAAGAGAAATTGCCACTTAACATATTAAGTTTTGTGAGTTCAGAGGAAAGCGGTCACTATAGATCAGAATGCAGCATTTCAAGGAGAAGCATAAGTCAGAAAAGTGGACATGAAGATCCCTTCAGGCTTAAAGTGGACCCCAGGACATGACTCAGGGGAGAGGAGACGGGGGTAAAAAAAACACCCCTACTGTATACAGCTCAGGACAAGTCTCTGAACTAGCTGAGGAAGAGAGATGTGTCCCAAAACAAGACATACAAAATAAAGCCTGCGTGATCCGTCCTTGATATCTGCCTTCTTTCCTAGCCATAGTTCCAACCCCCGCCCCCGGGCCTCCCCAGAATTTCCAGCCGGGAGGGTCCCCGCTGACAAACACCACTTGCCACCGTTGGCCACAAAACTGGCACACCTTCCCAAGTCCCAGCCCAGCGCCTCTGTGGCCTTAGTGATCCGTCCGCTCTCCAGAACTACGGCTCCCTCAGACAAAAGCAAGGCTGCGTTGCCACGGCTACCCACTCCCGCCCCCATCAGTTGCCGTCCTCACCCCCAGCCGGTCTCCGGCCTCAGTCCTCCCCAGACCAGGCCTCCCTCACTTACCAGATCTCCGCCCCCCATGACGGTAGAGACGTTTCCTCACTACCTAGACCTGGAAGACTCTGGAAGGATCGAGAGGAAACGTAGAGAAATAGTTCAGGTGCGACCACCCCAGCTCGGCTCCCGGCGGACACCGGCTGCCACTTTCACTGCCCGACCTGGAGCCCACTTCCGGGAGAACGTCCTATTACCGCGACAGCGACGCGGGAAGATGACGTGTAGTCCTCTCCGTAGCTCTTCGTGGCAGTAGCGTCACGTGTAGTTTCGCAGTTCGAGGCCCGGTTGTCGTGGCATCTTCGTCTTGTTTTGGACGCCTCGGGTTGGCATCACACCTGCAATCCCTAAAGATGTGTTAAAACGCCGCGGCTCTGGTCAGCTGAAATTGCCAGTGGGCCTAACCCCAAGGTTTATTGCCATGGCAGCGCCCCAAGGCGTCCCCCTCGGGGCTCCACTATGTGTGTCCCGGAGAGGCCCCAGCGTGGATCAGCCTTGGCTGCCTCGCCCCTGCACCCCCACACACACACCCCGGTTTAACAAACGGCCTTTCAAACCCGCACTCTCCTCAAACCTCGATACAGGGCCGACTCCTTTACTTCAGGCCAACTTTACAAAGATAAATAAAGGCCATCGAACCGAAAGTCCTTTGGCTGCTCTGCACCAGACTTCTAGAATCTGCCAGCTTCCCCATTTCCTTTCCCTTCGTGTGTGATGGAAGAGGTGTCCCTCGTATCTCAGGACCCGCGATACGCCCTGGATCGCTCTGGGTCTCACCCCTCGAGTGTGTTTCACTTGATTTCTCCCTCTTTCCTGTATCTCCCTCGGTATTGGCTCTTTGTTATCAGTATTTTAGATACGCTCAATCGATTCTTAAAACAACAACAAAAAGCCCATCTCTCTCCCCGCTGCTGCACTCTGCGTCTTAACCAAACTTGAAACAAGTTGTCTCCACTCAGGAGACAAGATGCTTCCACTTCATCGTCTGCTTAACCTCAACTATTCTTCCCGTGATTTTCAGTAATGCCCCTGTATTTAAATCAAATGACACATTTCGTCCTTATCTCGGCCACCCTGAGCCTTTGGTGTTGAGGGAGGACCACTCTCCTTATCGAAACACTTTTTATTTCATTCTCCCCGTCACTCTCCAGATTTTCATCTTCTTCTTCTTCTTCTTCTTCTTCTTCTTCTTCTTCTTCTCCTTCTCCTTCTCCTTCTTCTTCTCCTTCTTCTTCTTCTTCCTCTCCTTCTCCTTCTCCTTCTTCTTCTTCCTTTCTTCTTCTTCTTCTTCTTCTTCTTCTTCTTCTTCTTCTT